TAAATTTTTACTAAGTGTTTGATATAGTTTTACCATTTTTATAAGCTTTGATATAGTTTTACCTTTTTCTGAATTTTTTAGATTTTTTAAAAAAATTTTAATATAATATAACCAAGTTTTACTTTTATTATTTAGATAATTGTCTAAAATCTAGATTTTTCTAGCAATCTTATACATAGTGAATTGATTGAGTTTAGAACCTATATTTATTATATTTAGAGGCTAATCAGTAAGGGGTAGCTAATCAGTAGCCTGACCCTCATTCTCACTTGATTAAATTCTGATTGGTTGAAAAAATATATATATTAAAATAATATAATTATGCAAATATTTTGCCATTTAGTAATCCAATTTATATGAATTTTTGTTTGTTTTATAAGATTCTTTAAACTCTATTAAGTAAAAATTATTTATTTAAATTGAATTATTAAATACTAAAATAATTGTAAAAAAACATTTTTAATATATATAAAATAATAGAATTATGCAAATATTTTGTCATTCAATAATTTAATTTACATAAACTTTTTTTTTTGTTTTATAAGCCTCTTCAAATTTTATCAAATAAAATAATATTTATTTAAATTAGCTTACTAAATAGTAAAATAATTGCAAAATATCTTTAATATATGTAAAATAATAGAATTATACAAATATTTTGTTATCTAGTAATCCAATATACATAAACTTTTTTTTTTATTTCATAGGCTTTTTTAAATTATATCAAATAAAAATCATTTAAATTGGATTATTAAATACTAAAATAATTGCAAAAATCCTTTTTAATATATGTAAAAATAACAGAATTATATAAATATTATATATTACAGGCTATAGTATACCTTCTATGTATTGTATCTCCTTTTTTTATCTAAAAAAATTACATTTTCTATTGTTATTATTATTTAGAAATCTAATTTTAATCAGATATTATGTATTAAATAATTTTCTGATAGTTATACAATTCTTTAATATATTCTATTTGTAATAAAAATTTAAGTTATAGATTTAGTAATACAAGGGCAATTATCTGAAATTTGTAAGATATTTAGGATACTATAACTCGCAATATATGATATTTTATTCTTAATTAATTTTAAAAAAATTATTAGTTTTAAAGATTAATTTTTTTAAATATTATTATTATAATTAATTTTTTAATTAAACTTACTTATTAAAATAAGTTTAAATTTCTTTTTAAAATTTAAAAATCTTTAAAATATTAGATTTAGAATCTAAATTCTAGGATCAAATCCTAAATTAAGTATATTTTTAATTTTTAAAGAATTTATTTAATTTAATAATTAAAAAGATAAATTTATTAAATTAATAGTATATAAATAAAAATTATCTTTAAATTCATAAAGACTAATTAGAATTTTTAGGATTTTACCAATTCTAATAGTAGATACTATATAATTTGAATTGAATAATAATCACAAATTATAAATAGTTTATATTACTGTCTTTAATCGTCTATAACTATTTAAGGATTAGAAATTGAGTTTGATTTTCAAGTTATTTTAACAGTATGATAAGCTTGTCTAATTTGATAGATCTCAAAATAGACTTTTTTATTTAATTATAATGATTAAATTCTAATAATGCTAGGATTCTAAGAGTAGTGATTAGATTTGAGATTTTTTTTTAGTATGATACTTGTTAAACTAATGAATTGATAGAAGAAGATAAGTCTTAAAAGTGTTATGAGACTTATATGAATATAAGCTATTAGATTTTTAAAAATAGACCTTTTACATTCTTAATATAAGTTATATATTATTCTAAAATAAAAAAAATTCAGATTTTATAGAAAATCTAGTGATCCTATTTCAGTTGGCAATAATTAAGTTCTTATTGTAGGTTACATGATAATAGATCCTAGTTTAGCTTTTAGTTAAAGCAGATTATAGCAAATTAAATTTATAAGATTTATCAGTTCAATGTCAGAAATAATTTTATAGAATATATATATATTATGTATGTTAAAAATCACAAATTTAATAGTTATTTACATAAATGATGGTAGCTTTCACAATATAGCTATATAAGATCACTTTGTTTACACATCACCATGATAATAGATGATTATAAGTAACTTGATGTATAATAAACTGATTGTATAAAATCTATATTTAGAGGCTAGTCTATAATAAATAATTATCACATCATCTGCAAGAAGGTCTATTTTCTGATTGATAAAAATATGTAATAGATCAATGGTAAATATTATATAAGTTGGATTGAATAATAGTTATAGATTATAAATAGTTAATCATAGTATCTATAGCTATTTGAGAGTTAGAGATTGGATTTGATTTACAAGTTATTTGTTTAATAATATAGTGAGATTGTCTAGTTTGATATATCTTAAAATAGAACTTGTTTATACTTGAAGTTTTTCTTTAGTATAATACCTATTAAATTAATAAATTAGCAAAAGTAAACGGATCCTAAAAGGGTCATGAAACTTTAGATTTACTATAAATATAAGCTGAGTTTTCAATAAATGGGCTCCTTAGCTTCTTTAACATAATATGTATATATCACTTTAGGGTAAAAAAAAAAGTTTAATTTTATATGCTAATCTAAGGAATAATATCTACTTAATACTATTAATATGATCAGTATTTATTCAAATGTTATGAAGTTTTTAACCCTTATCCTAAATAAAAGTAATAATAATTTATTATAATATTTTGTATAAGTAATTATAATAATGCATTCAACTATTATAATACATTTTAATGATAATAATGCATATGGACTATTATTAACTAGTATATATTTAGCTTTTCATAATGCATTTCAACCTGTATAATTTGATTTCAACTTTTTTTTTAAACCGTTTGAAATGATTGAAATGATTGAAATGATTGAAATCAATAAAGTTAGTTTTTCGTATAATAAAATAGCCTTTTATGCATACTATACTTTAATCTTTAATATTTATATCAATAACGTTACATATTAAAATTGAATAATCTATTAATAATTAAAAATGATTGGGTTTAGAATCAGAACTAGGTTCTTGGGACGGATTTCTGACCTAAGTCTTTGAACTGGATCTGATTGAACCTAATTGTTTGACTTGGCTAAAAATCCATAGCTTCATAATCGAATTCTGAATCTTTGCGTTCATACAAAATGATCCCAGCGCATGATGGTCCTTGTAAAAAAAGCCAAAACAAGTTATTAATACGTGATTACAAACATCTATACTTATCCATAACGATTGTAAATGAAAATCTGCTGAAAAGCAAATACGATTAACAGTTTTTACCGATTTATCGCAAGCACGCACCATATATGAAAATGTATTTTTTTTAATACAAATTGTAACGTTTTTATTAATACACAAAAAAATTAAAAGGAATCGGGCCGTTATCCTTGCGAGCCTCCAAAGCTATGAGTATTATCGAGATTTAGTGAATATTCGTCGAGAATCATCATATCCGAATCTTGAAAGATTTCTTCCGGCTCATATTGCAAAGCATATTCTGCTTCCTCTAAATCTCTTGAATTATTTATCTGTAATTCTTATCAACAATCCACCACAAAGAAAATAAATTAACATTATTACTCTTGTATGTAATTCAACTATGATTTTATCATGCAAATACCGTTTTTGAATTCCTGAAGCAATTCTTCCTCCATTTCCGAGGCTAAACTAGGATTGAGATCACCTGTAAACCTATCTTCATTCATTAAAAAGCTCATCCATTCGTTTTTAATAAATTGTAATAGTATCTAAACAAATAGGCAAGAAATTATTTAAATGGCAAAATATCAATATCATGGTTCCAGGTTCACAACATACCTCTTCGTGTATAACGTTAACGTAATCACCAGTTACTTTTGCTAGGTTCAACCCAAATCTATGCTTGTTTACTTGTGTTTCTCTGGAACGTTTGAATTGCTTCAAGCACCATTTTTTGAAACTGTCTTTACATAAATGTTGAGATTTATTCTTTATAAAGGTTCGCTGTTGACGACCTTCCATTTTCCTTAAAGTGCTAGTTTTTTTGAATAGCTGCAGGCAAGATTCAACAAATATTAGTTAATTATATAAAGTCGCGTTCTTTTAGTTTAAACAAAATGTGACACGGCGTACTTAGTGTTATTATTAGTCGCGACGCAATTTGATTAAAGAAAATTCCTTCATTGATGATCTAATTTTTACCTATATTTGTTTTAATGATGACGATTTTGTATATATCAATCAATAAAGTTTTGTGCATTTGAATTTGTGCTAACACAAAATAATGTTAATGCCATTTTTATATTGATTAAATTGTTTGTAAACAAGAAACAATATTTAATATTTACAACTATTTACAACAATCCATATAAAATAAAAATAAAAAAAGGGAATTGAATAATGGTAATTATAAAAAAAGATAATCGTTAGGGTGCATTATTTGTATTATGATATACTTAAATAAAGGGAAAAGATCATCTAACAAAAAAAAAAAACTTTATCTGATATTGTTCATCAACCAATGAATTTGATATTTAATGCGTCTCCTCCTCCTCCTCCAAAAAAAAAAAATTAAATTAAAAAAAAAATTCTTCAATACTTAATACTAAAAATTATCTCCAAACTTAACCATGGTTGTTACAATGCTTAGTGACGCTACTGGTGTCCCAGAACCAGTCCTTCGCTTACTACTTAGTATTCTAACCGCTTATCCGGTTGCTCTTTTTTATCATATCGCATTTCTACGTCCTATGAAAACAAAATGGGCTCCTTTCATTCGTAACCTTTATGTCGTTGTTACTGGCCTTTCAATTTCTTATTTTTTTAATGGAAGTGATATAAAACATTCTCTAATAACAACTATTGTAACTTGGTTTATTTGTTATTTCGGAGACCTAATTGGAAACAGAGAGCTTGCTTGTGCTGTATCATTTATCTTCAACTTTTCTTATCTTCTCGTTGGCTATTATGTTACCTCAACCGATGAATATGACGTTGATTGGACTATGCCACATTGCGTTCTATGTTTAAGAATGATTGGGTTTTCAATGGATTTTATGGATGGAGCAAAATTTTTAAAATCATCCGCACCTGAAAAGAAGACAATCGATAACAAAAAGATCGATCCTCCAGTTACTCAAGCTAATTTAAAAGCACCAAAGCAACCTATTTCATTTGAAAAGAACGTTCAGTTACCAACTTTACCTCCCTTGATCGAAACCATCGGTTACGCGTATTTCTTTGGGTCTTTCATGATCGGTCCACAATTTTCTTTTCATCTTTATCGTAAACTCATCACCATGTCTTTATATGCCGATGTAAATAATATCCCAGCAGGATCCTATAAATGCGCATTAAAAAGTTTTTTTATTGGAGCATTGTATTTAGGTATACAACAAATAGGTGTAGCATATTTTCCCATGTCATATTTGCTGACTAAAGAATATAATGCTGAGCCTTTATTTGTAAGGCTTGTAAGTATGTGGTTTGCAGGAAAATTTGCCTTTACAAAGGTAAGATAAGCTTTTGTTTTACCCATTTCATTGATTCTTCTGTCCTTTTTGATCTAACTGTAATGTTAACTATAGTACCTAGGTATCTGGACTTTGGCTGAAGGATCATGTATTTTATCCGGTATATCTTTTAATGGTTACGATGATAATGGCAACCCAGAATGGAACGGTTTAGCAAACGTTGACATGGTATGTATAAAAGTGTGGAAAAAAATTTTTTTTTTTGAATTATTATTTTAATGAATTACTAACATTGTTAAATTTTTTTGCATCATAAGATGAAATTCGAATTTTCTACATCACTTAATCAAATTGTTGGGGCATTTAATACAAATACGAACCTATGGACTAAGATATATATCTTTAAACGACTTATATTCCTTGGAAATAAAAATCTTTCATCAATTGGTGCATTACTCTTCCTTGCTTTATGGCATGGACTTCACCCAGGATACTATTTCTGTTTCTTCCTTGAATTTGTAGATATTGAGACAGAGAAAAGATGTGTGAAACGATTAGAGCCGTACACTAAACAATTGTATGATCCAATGAATAAATCTAATTCTATCATGATTTTAAGGAGATTACACAAAGTTGCGTGTTGGTTCGGTCAGACTTGTGGATTACATTATGCAATGGTATCATTCGAATTATTAAAATGGAATCGCGTAATCCCGGCATATAATTCAGTATATTGGATTGGACATATAGTTGTATTTTCATTGCTTCTTGCCGACATTATTTTACCAAGAAAAAGAGTGAAGAAAATTGAAGACAAAAATAATACTAAACTAGCATTGAATGAAAAGACAAAGGTTATTTCTGATTATGTTAACGGTACTAAAATTAAAGAACAGTGAATAAAATTGGTTTTAGAGATGTCGGATCCTTGGTTTTGTTTGGGGGTTTTTTTGAATCTTTTCTTTAGTTATATAGGTTTATTTTTATTATTACTTTAGAATATCTTTAATTTTGATTTAATTTAATTATCTAGAGATATTTTAAATTTTATTTTGTTTTAATCATGTAAGATATATATCAAGCATTTTTTTTTGTAACGATCTCAAAAACTATATAAATAAAGCATCGTCTATAAATAAATTATTGATTAATAAATCGTCCAATTTATCGCGAAATCAAACAGAAATTAACTTGATTAGGATGTTAATCATAAAACGAGCTCAAATAATTATCATATGTCAAAAAGGTATTTTTCAAAAAAAAAAAAAAATTATATGTAGTGTGCGCACCACGGTTTTCTATAACATAACAATTTTAAATCACATATATCGATAAAATGATTGGTTATTCTGAATATAATTACTTACCAAATTTATCGCCAAACCAATAATATGAGGTATCACATTCAACTCTGAAATTTGTAAAAATGTTTTCAGATCAGATCATTTCAAATCGAAGCATTTGAATATCACAATGTAATCACCTTCTCTTGCATTTAAATAGTAATGATATTATTGAACTAATTATTCATAATTTTTAATCAAGATTCAATGTTTATCATCATTTAAGAAGTCTAAATTTTTTTTTTCGGTAGTTACCGTCAAAAAAACTAATTGGAATATAGATTTGTATTACATTGTAGAATTAATAATACAATCAATCCTCTTGTAATATTTAATATTTAAGATTAAAATTTAATTGCAATGTTTGCTCTTCTTAATTAATAAAATATTTATATTTAATTATGGTTAAAGTTTAAATTTCAACTAAAGGTAATATACATTATTCAGTAAATCTTTGAAAATAATAAAGATTTGAATTAATATATAAAAGCATTTTATAAAAAAATTTTATATTTTATAATATTTCTTTTTTAAATAAATATTATTTTGTTGATAATTAAAATGATTTAAACATTCTTATATTCATCAGATTATTATTAGATCTGCTATTTTTATTTCAATATAAATTATAATTTAAATTATTTGATCATTTTTATTATATTAAATTAAAAATATAAAATATTATTTATAATTATATTTTTTTATATAAAATATATTTAAATTAATTTATATGCTTATTAATAAAAAAAAGGTAATATTAAAATGATTTAAACATTCTTATATTCATCAGATTATTATTAGATCTGCTATTTTTATTTCAATATAAATTATAA